CTCTCTCTCTCTCACGCGTGCGCATCTATACTGCCACACACGCCACCTTAAAAAAAAAAAAAAAAAAAAACACGCGTGCATCAGTAGCGCGGGTACTAATTTCCGCAAGGCGCGTGGCTCACGGCACACCGCACCAGTGCTTCGCAAGTATGCTTTTGCACTATCTAAACTTTTATCCAATCAGGCCAACTTCAATTTCCCACAGCGTTCATTCGGCCCCCCGATCCCCTGTATGGGTTCACCGACTGAGAAAGTCAGCTTGTCCCTCCTGGCAGGTTGTGGAATTGTCGCCACCTCACTTTCCAGTCCCGGGTGTTAGGGGCTTGGGTGCTGCTTGCTCCCCGCGCAGAGCAGACTTAGGTAGGAACAGACCCATAACCTTAGCTCAGTTGGTACGTTTAAGGTTGGCTCCTGAGTATAGAAACTGCTTCCTTTGGGCTGGGCTAGAGGTAACCCATTAGGTAGGTAGCTATGGTCAGTTAGATACAAGATTGAGTGAAGAAAAAAATACAGCTGGTCTCCCCCCTTCCCACCTCCCCCCCCCAAAAAAAAAAAAAGTGGTCTTATGATGACTCTTATCCAATATAATCCCGTTAAGGTTTTTGAACTGTTAAACTGTAACTTAAACATCAATTAAAATTTAAAATTGTAAGGATACAGAGAAAAGATTAGCATGTCGTTTTCGTGCCATGCGTCATGTGCAGACCATGTGTGAAGTCGGGTCCGTGCAGATTCTTTTTTAATCATGAATTATTATTATTATTATTAATTTATTATTATTATTTGGTCCGTGCAGATTTCTTCTTCCCGTTTGTTGCGATTGTGTTTCTGAATTTTCTGTTCTCTGAATGTTTTTCTAGAAAAGAAAAGGAAGAGGAGACACAGGGCCCTTGTGGTTGTAGTTTCTAGAAAAGAAACTTTTTCCCAGAAAAGAAAAGGCAAAAGAAACACAGCTTCCTCGTTGATTGAAACCACGAAATTGGTACTGTTGATTTGTGACCACTGAGTCGGAGCTGACTTTTGACTTTTGACTTTCATCGCAGGTGGTGTAATTGAAGTCATGGAATGGGACACCGTAGTTATCATCTTGTTGAGCTTTGCTCTTGGCATGGTGAGTTATGATCTCTCTCTCTCTCTCTCTCTCTCTCTCTCTCTCTCTCTCTCTCTCTCTTTGTGTGTGGCTGATTTCTTGGGGTGAACACTTCCCTCTCTCTCTCTCTCTGATTGTGTGTGTGTGTGTGTGTGTGTGTGTGTGTGTGTGTGTTCTCAAGGGCAAGGGTAGGCATAATTAATGGTTGAAAAAAATGAAGTAGAAGAGTTTATAAGCGTAGTTACCAGCCAGGCTGTCCCAGTTGCCTCATATTGACCCGGGTGGCCCTGCCGGGACAGGTCTGGACAAAGTCCCAGTCAAGGTCCTGGGCAATCCCAGCACGAAAAAGAAAAGAAAATTCTAAAAAAAATGAAAAAAGTTAACAAAATTTAAAAAACCTTTGTCATGCATAATTTCAAATCAAACAACCCTTGGCTGATGGGCAGCCCGAAATTCGTTATGGAACTAGGCTACCAGCCAGGCCGCCCGGGTCACAGGGGCCAAAAAAAAATAAAAATAAAAAAATCGGAAAACAACTCTGTTATGCAGAAAAATAAACTGAGCAACTTTTGCCTCAGCGTCACATCGAAATTCTCTACCAAATTTAAATTAAAAATTAATTTTTGTTTTTTTATTGTTTTTATTTCTTTTTGGCCCTGCCGGGCAACTGGACCCGGGCCACTCTGGTAGCCTAGTTATGGAATGTGAAAAAAAAAAAAAAAAAAATAATAATAAATTATATCATACCCCTTTAAGCTCCTTTAAGCCCCTTCAAGCCCTTTCGAACCCCGCTTATACCCCATAGACACCCTTTGGTAAGATATCACCAAATTCAAAGATAAGGCCGGACTCGGGCACGTCTCAATGGGTGCAAAATTGCCCCACTGACAAAACATTAAAAAAAAAAAAAAAAGACCCCCTTTTTGGTATCACCCAGGTACCCCGGGCGGGCCACCCCCTGTGCAAGTTTGGCCGGCTCCCCGGCCGAGCGACCCTGGTAACCGGCACCAGCAGGGGCATATTGAAAATGGAGGGTTCGGGAAGTAAGGTATTAATTTGGCATGGTACAGACATGTTGCTGTCCATAAACAGATCAAGAGTTCGAATCCTGCCAGATACAAAGAAAGAAAGTCGTAGCCATAAAAGCTGATACGCCACAAGTGAAAAGTGAAATCCACAGAGTTTTACTGTGGCGCTTATCCGTGCACGTCTCCATGAACACAGTTTCACTGTGTCGCATATCACTGCACGCCTCCGTGATTTTGCGCACTGCTATCATCTCAACATAACCGGGTCCAAACCTGGACCAGGTCTGGACCAGGTTTGGACCAGGTTTGGACCAGGTTTGGCGGCTCTCAACCCGGCTCAGACCTGCCATCCTAGCGGGAGGGTTCGGGGAGCCAAAACCTGGTCCAAACCTGGTCCAGACCTGCCATGCAAGGATGGCAGGTCTGAGCCGGGTTGAGAATCGCCTCATCCCAACATAGTTAATGTCGCTAACCGGGTCCAAACCTGGACCAGGTCTGGACCAGGTTTGGACCAGGTTTGGCGACTCTCAACCCGGCTGGAGGGTTCGGGAAGCCAAACCTGGTCCAAACCTGGTTTAGTTAATGTCGCTAACCATGCTAGGATGGCAGGTCTGAGCCGGGTTGAGAGTCGCCGCCGTGCAGACGTTCTTTTCAAAAATGAGAAGGGCGACGACCTTCAGATATCATCGTTGAACTGACCGGACCCAGGTTGTTTACAATGATTTCATTCTGGTTGTCTGATTGTACCTGGATTCGAACTTGGGTCTGCATTTCAACAGTTTGTGGGTGTACCATTCTACCAACTGAGCTAGGCCCCCTGGTAAGAGAGAGACTCTCTTTCACTTGACCTATCCATGGATTTGAAGATCAATCCCAGACCTACCATCCCAAGTTAGCTTGAGAGAGAGAGAGAGAGAGAGAGAGAGAGCAACAGCATATAGCAATCGTTGCAAAGCGTGAGGTTGTAACGATACCTCAGGAAGGAAGTGGGATGGAAAGAAAGCTGTTGGGGAAGGTGATTTTCTTCATTTCCTCTTGCTTGTGGATATAGCTGATGTTGTTGACGATTGGAGCGCCAGGAGAGGTAGGTACACAGATGGGAAGATTCAAATGGCAGGGTAGGGGGTGGGGAGGGTTGGGGGGGGTGGGGGGCAATCTTTGTCACTGATTCTGTGTTTAGCTGACTGGGTGTTTGTTGGTGTGGCAGGCGTTGATGACCCTTCGAAACTTGGCGGTCATTCGAGCCGCAGAAGCGGCAGCGTTGGCAGATGAGGCAGATGAACGGACGGGTGTGGCAGCAGGTGCAGGCAGGGAGGGAGGAAGAGCAGAGGCGGGAGAGGGAGGCGGTGCTTTAGCAGGCAACACTTCAGCTGCTATGGTAGGTGCTGCGGGAGCAGGCGCGGTTCTAGGAGGTGTCCTCGCCGGAGCGTCATCACAGGGTCGTGTAGGCGGAAGCGATCAGAACCCTACGAACGATGCCCGTCAACAGCGGTTGCAGCAGATGGACGGAAGCGGTTCGGGACACTTGAGGGTGAAGGCTTCATCATCAACAACAGATGCTACCCATCCCGATACGGATAGACATGGCGCAGTGATGTCAGCGTCAGCCACGACTGGCAGAATTGGAAGACCCACTTGATGTTTTCCTCACCGTCCTCACCGACATAGGGAGGAAAGTTTCGGACTAAGTCATTTCTTTATGCTCTCACCACACTCATTCGCTTGTCGGTGACATTCAATAACTGTTGCCCCAATTTGCTTGTGCTTGCAAATGCATTGCCGCTTCATGAGGCACTTGACTTGCGCGCCAGGAGCGCCCCACCCCACCCCTACTTCGCTTGCTCAACCGCCTTCCATCGACATGTCTCTCGTTCCAACTGACCGAGGAATCTCTCCCCTGCGCCCTTTCGTCTCTGCTCGTGTCTTTTTTACGTCAAGCGGCCGTTGCTCCCACTGTACAGTTTTTAACTCTCTCTCTCTCTCTCTCTCTCTCTCTCTCTCTCTCTCTCTCTCTCTCTCTCTCTCTCTC